GGGCGAAAGAGATTATGAGGGACAGACACGGGAGGGGGAAGAGGGGACTCGGGATAGAGGGGAAAGAGGGCAATCAAAGAAAAGAGAACATTCGCATACATACAGCAGATTTGAAGACTGAGGAAAGCTGCAGAAGTAGTATCCAGACAGACTGACAGAATTTCACTCTTACCTGTAGTCCATCCAACAAGAAGAGAGACAGGGGAAGAAGTGAGTGAGAGCTGAGATGATACGATTGTAAATGCTAAGTTAAATAATAATTAATAACGGCCGGGCCGTTGCGGCCGCTGCCTGTATTCTTAGGCATAAGCTAGACTAAGTCCAGTCGGTGGTCACGGGCTAGGTAAGGTTAGGTAACTTCAGGTTAACAGTCGCAGCTTCCAATCACCGATCGCCCTGCCCTGATCGGGAAGTGGAATCGGTCAAAGCTGCTGCTGCCTGAGTGATGAGGCATCAAGATACCTAGGCAGTGCTGACTGATAAAGAAAGGCGGGAGGGAGTCCACTGGTTACGAATTACGACGACTTTCCCCGACAGAGCGCAAAGTGTCCTCCTCCGAACCGTCAAGTCAACAGTCTGTTGCTCCCCCCATTGAACCAACAAATCTATCTTCGGAGATTAGGTATGTTCCTTGCATTGATTTTCAACCCAGCAGCCGACATGTCGCCTCAATTCAACCGTCCATCCTACCCACTGCCCTGCATCCCATGATTAAGGCTAACGTGGCTTCCCCCGTTCTCCGGACAGTGAACTTCCCATCTCCGCTATCTACTTCCCTCCTACAGCGCCGGTACCTCTTCCTGCTGTGCATCACCACAAAACACCCACAAAACAACCTCAATTGAACCTCACCTTGATACCTACCAACCTCTCCCGCAAAAGAAACACAACCATCACAATGATCACCGACGACGAGCTCCACCGCCTGGCCGTCTTCCTCGGCAGCTGCGCCATGATGATGATTGTCCTCTACCACTTCCTCGAAGTCAACGCCAAGGACGACGGCGCCGAACTCGACGCTCCCGCCGATCAGAAGGTGCCCGGGGTCTCGCAGGAGACGGCTGCGGCTGCTGCGGCCGTGGGATCGTCGTCGTAGGGTGTGAATGGGGAAGGGAGGTCTGGCTAGGGAGGATGGATACCCACAACCTGAACGTTTTGACTGCTGTTTTCTTGTTTCTTTCTGTCGCGTTTATTTCTGTGTTCTGTGTCTCGAGTCTAGTTTAAGCGAATGACTACGGGGTGGAAAAGACCAAAAGGCAATGGGCTTGTTTGTTTAGAATACCCGGGCGGTGGTCTTTTGGGCTCCCATCCAATGCATCGTTTACTTTCTATGAAATACTTCGCATGTATCTTCGTATGTGTGCATTGTATGGATGTATATCACCTTGCAAATGTTCCCAGCTTTCCCACAATATCAATGTACAAGGTTGTGGTTTCCTGGGGTAGGCGACGGGTTGGGGACGAACCAAAGCTGGGTAGGAGTCACAGGACACACTCCCAAAAAGCGACCGGAACACCTAGGCCTCGACACCGATGCTCTCGAATGAATGACTCTAGAAAAGTTGAGAAAGGGACCAACCACACCGCCCAATGCAGAATGCCGGTTGCCGTAATATGAAGATACCACAGGCTTACACAACCACTTCATAAACATCCTCCTCAGTGCTCTGTCGCTCATTCCGCACAAAGTTGGTCAATTCGCAGCCCCCCGGGTCCAAGCCCACGCCGATCTGTTCTTTCAGTCGCTGCACAGCCTTGAGGATTTCCTGCGCTTTTTGCTGCTGGGTAGTTTTGCCATGAACTCTATGGTAGGCTCGGATCGACGAACCACTCGCCGGGAAGATAAGCATGTCATCCAAGCCAGGCCGACCGTTCTGAGGAATCGTAGACAGTCCTGTTTCGCTAGTGGTTTCACCTATTCGATAGTGCGAGCAAGAGTCAAATAATTAATGATCGCCCTTCAAAATGCTACAAGTCACGCGTAAAGTGGAAATGCGATCATCCAGATGCTTTCTCACCAGGTCTTGGCACAGATGGTCCGTCGCCCAGCCTCCACGCGATAGAGTCCAGGTGGCCCTTCTTCACGTGCTTGAAGAGCAGCGCCGCAGGCATGGGCTCCGGGTGTGTGCATCCCTTCCAACCGCAGGTCAGCTGCTGAGAGACATGAACCTTGAAAATGTGTTTCTTGAGCCCCTCCAGGTTATGAAGCTCAGCACGACAGTCCGTCCACTGACAGCCGAAAACCTGGTACTGCACCAGTTGTGCGCTCGTCGTCGTAACCGGCTGCTGCTTGGGCTTATTGCCGCTCCCAGGCGGACGACCAGGTCCCCGCTTGCCCACCATCGCGCTCGCCGGTGTCCTGGGTGTGGACTGTGACTGCGGCTGCGGCTGCGGCGTTGGTGGTAATGGTGTGTACGGGGACTGCAAGGGAGGAACACCGGTTCTGGGAGGAAGCTGGACCTGCGGACTAGGAGACTGGAAAGAGATTTGGGAGCTAGGAGGAGGTTGCGATGGCTGCACTTGCGGTTTTGGATAGGGAGGCAGTGCCTGCTGAGGTTGCGCAGATGCTGGCGGGACTGGGGCTGATGGGAAGTTCAGATGAGGCGGAGCAGGAATCGGGTGCGGCGGTCGCGGCGCGGGACGCGGCGCGGAAAGTTGGTTGGGCGTGGAAAGTCGGTTGGACGGCGGAAGGGGAGCGCCCATCCGTTCCTGGTCACGTGCCTCCTGCGAATCTACTAGATCCCATCGAAATGTCGCCAGATCTGACCCGTTGTCCACATGTGTGAACACATCCCTTAGACGGAAGAGGTGATGGTTCAGAGCGTCTTCAGTCGGATGACGGCCGGATGCAATTAGAACATCTCTAGCAATGGTCTTAGGGTCATAAGCCAGCTTCCGAGCAGCATCCGCTTCATTTATAGGCTTCACAATGTCGGCGCGGTGTTTCAAATAATCCTTCACTTTGAGCCCTGGGGTAGTTGCGGGAGAGTAACTGTAGACAGACAGCCCACCTGCCGGGATTGAAGGATGGGCGGCACCCGTGGACGCAAACGACGCCGGTGGCTTTGATGTCTCTAGAGGTCCCACGCGACGTTTCTTAGCAGGATTTCCAGACTCCTGACTCGTGGACGCATTGAACTTCTGCTTTTGAGGGATCACTTGCGAAGGCGCTGGGCCGGGTGCTGGGCCGGGCGCCGGGGCAGGAGTCTGGACAGGAGCTGGGGCCGAAGCCGGTTGACATCCGGGTTGTGGCATCTGGGGCATACTGTGCGATGGTGTCTCATGAGGCCCAGCGGATGAACTTTGGTAAGGTCCGCCCGTATGATGACTTGTTGCTGGATTCTGTACCAGACTCTGCGGTGATACCCCGTAAGGCGCGGCGGAAGAGTTCTGATTGGGCCCGCCTGCATTCTGATTTACTGCGCCGTTTTGTGGCCTGCCCTGTGAAGGAGCCGTGTGAGACCCAGCAGTAGGAGCTTGGTTGGGTCCGCCGGTAGCCTGAGTTACTGGCGGATTCTGCGGAGGCGCGGAGTAAGCCGAAGGTGACGGCATCGGCTGAGGCGTTGGATGGTAAACAGACTTCTGCGCCTCAGGAGGGACTGTCTTCGAGGTCGGCGGAGGCGCGCGCCCGGGCGCAGAGGCCGAGGCCGTTCTGTTCCCATCAGGCATCGTTGTCCAGGCTCTTGGAGGGCCAGCCTGAGGTGCGCGAGGGGCCGCGCTGTTGGGCAGGTGGGATTGTGTGGGGTTAAGCAATTGAGGAGACCCTGTGTTTCGAGGCCGAGGCGGAGCTGTCTTCGTAGGCGGCGGAGCAGGTGCTGCAGGTGCTGCAGGTGCTGCTGTCGTGGTAGGTGGATAGGATTGGGTTGGTTGTTGAGGCTGTGGAGACGGTGCCCGCTGCGAGTGATAGAGAGCTTGCTGCGCTAGGTTCTGATACGACTCGGGTCCCCTGACAGGAGCATAATGAACCTGCGAGCCTTGCGTCTGGGACACGGGGGGTGGCGCGCCGGACGATGGAGGCGCATAACGAGGCGGAGCATGCGGTGGGCGAGATTGTGTTGGGAAAGGAGCGGGTGCTGAGGAAGGAGTAACACCGGTAGGCCTCACATTGGTTCTCTCCGCTGATGGACGACCTTGAGGGTAAGGTGGTTGAAATCGAGCGTGACTCGTTCCTGGCGACGGGTGGGACATTTGAGACGGCGGGGGCAAGGCAAAGTACGGATTTGCCTGAAAGTATGCCATATTATTGTCTTCAAACCTCTGCACCTCGGGGTCGTAGCCATAGCGCAGGTAGCTTTCCAGCCACTGAATGTCATCGTTGTTTGACATTTTTCCTTGCCGGTGTTGGCCCCAGGCCGCGTTATCAGGGTTTCAGGCGCGAATAGATTCCCGTCTGGATCATGACATGGGATCGAATAGCATAGATGTGTGCAGGAAAGAAAGAATAAGTGAATGTTAGTAGCACATCGGTATTTCACAGAAAGAATCTGTAACACTCTAGAAAAAGGAGAATCGAAGCTTGACGCGACTACGCATAGCGCATCGCGAAATGCAATAGAACAATGGCCGGAGAATCATCGACCCGGACCGCTCGTCAGATAGGCAGGCGGTGAGCTTTGATTGGGACTAGCTGTAAGCTGGCGAATGAGGGGGCAGGTTCTAGTAACCTTACAGGCTAAGCGCAGCCCGGGTCATGTGACGCACACTGACCATTGAAAAGGTCCGCGGAAGTCGCCCATTGACTTCTATCTAACTCACAACATGAGAATTCTTTCAAGTTGTCCACACTCCAGGGAATCTGCACCACGATCATGTTCCTGAGTTCGCGGAGATCTGCTGAAGCGTCTTAAAATGATTGGGACAATCTGCAGACAAGCACTATACCATTGGCTGCATGCATCCGAGATGCAATCATCCGGACTTGACAACCTTTGACTTGCACCCCCTATCACAACAATCTAAGCAGGGCTTAGACTTGCGAGGGCGATGCTACAACTCCGGATGCTGGTGCACGAAGGTCAATGGTTCAGGGGTTCTAAATTCCCGTGCTTAACCCTCAATGAAGCGCAAGCATACCAGCAAAGGCTGAAACATCCCGCTCAAGGAACTCGACTGTCACGATCACAACTGGTCAGGCACGAGATTTTTACGGAAGATACAATACCTTGAGAAATGCGCTACGACTACCCCGACAAATGTAGCTGATCGCTCCCCTGATCATCCCCACCCCCCTTATTTCCCACATGAATTGCGCCAGGTTTATCTCCCCATCAACCCTTCACAATGCTTGATGGGGTATACGACTGGCGAAGAAGGAATAGCAAATAACTTATACCTGGATCTAATCCAGGGGGTTCGTTTGCCTCGCTTGCAGACCCGCACTGATGTTACTTCGGTGGCAAGGACGCTGTGGGTTTGAGAGTGAGAAACATACTGTAAACTCTAGCACTTGAATTGCTTAGGTAGCGGATAAATTGAACATCATATTACGATACTTGATTCTTTTCCCTCTCAGTCTGAGTTCTCCTGGTTGTACATCTTCTAAGGGCCCTCTGTGATACTACGCAAGGTGTGGGTTGGATGGATGATGCACTTGCATTTGCAATATGTACTAGTACTCATGAGCTCTGCAGTCTATCTCTTGAGCTGGTTCGAGACATTTCCAAGCCTGGTGCCTGGAGGTGTATTCTATTTGCCATATTCGGCAGTATGTTTTTATATAATGGGTCTCGAGCTATATCTGCCGGTGTTTGTCATATCGCCGCCTTCTTATGCTCTGCAGGCTTGAGCTAAAACCGGGGGATTAATAGTGATATAGAAGCAAACCAGACTACATTATCATGATATTATACAGAATTAAGAATTGAGCTTCCATCCATCTCAAAGGCCAGCCCAGCCCACCAACCTCAACTAGATACCATCGCCCGTTGACAATCATGAGCCCATCAATCAACAATCAGCGCAAAAGAACCGCAAATCAACAACACGCAACAAGCACAAGGCTCAATCTCAACCTTCACAAAAAGGAATGCAATCTCACACCCCCACCCACCTAATCACCCCATTTTCCACTCACTGCCAGCCCACCAACCAGTCGAAACATTCAACCCACGCACTTTCCCCAAGCAGGCAACCCACACCCCATCCCGACAAACAAATACACCAGGAACACGATCACCACAATCAACAGTGCGACCAGCTTGACATTCTTCCACCACATGCGGCGGCGCAGCCCGCGGCTGCGCATCCGGAAATCATGCGCGCTGCCGCCGAGCCGATCCGTCTTGTCGACGAGCAGATCGATGCGCTCGCCGCGCTCCAGCACGCGCTCGATGTTCTCCGTCATGATGTCGCGCACGCTGTCGATCTCGCGCCGCGCCGAGGCGAGCGAGTCCGACGGCGGCGCCGTGTTGTACGTCTGCAGCAGCGCGCGGAGGTCCGGGTTGAACGCGGCGCAGCCGTAGGCCGGCAGCGTGGCGAAGTCGGTGCTGGACGGCGGGTAGGCCGCCAGGAACTTGCGCTTGATCTCGAGGAGGAAGGCGAAGGGGATGCGGCGGCCTTGCTCGGCGGTCGCGACGACGATGTAGCTGAGCGGGGCGTAGGAGTTGGGCTCCGTGGATGAGGAGGAGTCATTGTTATTGTTGTTGTTGCTGCTGCTGCTGGGGGAGTCGGCGATGTAGTGCACGAATAGGCGCTCGTGGGTGTACGTGAGCTTCTGGGGTTGGTCGTGGGAGATCTTGGGGAGGATGATGGAGGCGAGGGAGGAGGCGGCTGATGAGGAGGTGCCGGGGGAGGAGTGTTCGGCTAGGATGGTGGTGCGGTGGGCGATGCAGGAGCTGGATTTCCAAGGAAGGTGAATTGGTTAGTTGTGGGCTTAGCAGTCGAATTGCATTGGGAAGGGGAACTGAAGCTGGCTGGCTAGCAGCTGGGTTGTTTTTTTTTTTTTTTTTTTCCCCTGTGTTGAGGTTTCTGGGTTGGTAAAGACGTACTAGAGCAGGAAGCTCGAGGGCTTCGAGGATGAGGCGGCGGCCATGATGCTGAGATGGTTAAGTTCCTGCCGATTCTATGTCGATGCTGCAAAAGGTTGTCACCAGCTGGCAGGGCAGGCGAAGAGGTTGCAGTTGTTGTCTTTGTTTGGTGCCTGGAGGCATCGATTGCGAGATAAGATCATCGGTCCGTGACGTCGCCGCCCCCAAACCCCGGATTCCATCACGTGCTACGCGGCTGCGTTCCCAGGCATTGATACTGACTCTCTACACGAAACATTCGCTGAAAAGACAATCTTGCTTTAGATTCTAGCTAGATTTTTCTCTGTAATATCTCAGATAAACTTCCTTTCATCTCAGTGTATAAGCCTAGAGTGGCTGGATCGCATCTTCAAGTGACAAGTCTTCAAAATCTGCAATACATTGTTCAATACCGCTTCTTTCGCTTGCCATGCTGAACGACATGACATCCGTACCAAATCCGCCTGTCGCCCCGTGCGACGCAGCTTGCACCGTACTCTCATAAGTGGTGGAAGAGTAGTCTGAGAGCGGCTTCGAAGCAACCGAGCTTCCCATATGTATCCCCGGTCCCGGCGTCGCGAACCCTGCAAGCTCGGCATTTGGAATGTCAAGGTCGGCGAAGACACCTCCAGAACCATCGTCATTACCTCCCGCCCACAAAGGAAGATACTTCACTTCATTCGCAGTCAGGCAGCTGACACAGTCGGTAATTAGCTGATCCATCTCAGATCGATAGGACCCGCGCATCCTGTCTGATATTGAGTGCAGATAGGAAGAAAGTTGGCTGAAAAAATCCTGAGGGTTAAAGTCAATGTACCCTTCCGGATAGAGACCTCCGAGATGGCAGATTGGACCGGAGGGTGCTTCGCTCGAGAGATGACCCAGGGTGTTGTTCCATGCTGACTCCAGCTCTCCAGTGTCGCCTACAATAATGAGATCCGCGCCATAAACGGGACGACCGGAGCCGGTGTGGGCGTTGTAACGGTTGACTTCTCCAACCAAGTCACCCGTGTCAAAAAGTCCGATCTTGGTATTTTCCTGCGCCCGAAATGGCTGTAGATGACGGCCCAGATCGGCGACCGACTGACTTGCGATGGAGTTGGCTGAGCGCAGATACACGAAGGCTGACGGTAGGAGATTGCTCCAATTTTTTGACCCGAGGTTCTTCCAGAAAGTTCGGCTCATAATGCGCTCGGTATAATGCATCTTGGTATAAGCTTTCAGAAATCGCTCTCCCGGGTAATCATCATCGGGCTCATGAAGCACTGAGATCTCCTTCCAAGTTACCAGGTCGGTATTTAATGCATCAATAACATGGTGTCGCACATAGTTCTTGAGACATCTGATGAGCTCAGATGCAAGAGGACAAGGAGGGCCGCCTGCTTCGTGTAAGAGCACTTTGTGGACCGCAGGCAATCTCTCCAGCCATTGCATCTTGCTGCCAACGAGCTCAAGAAAAGTGTCAATGACATGGTCCTTGAAGCTTTGACTGGCATACTCCACTCGCTGCCGGTCCTCATCATCCAGAACCTCCCGAACCCGGCCGTAGAGAGTCTCGTGCGAATCCCAAGGGCGGGTAAGTGTTGCGTTCGGCTCCGCCATCAATCGCAAAGATGCCTCTCCGACCAAGATCGAAAATGAGTCCTGGCACAAGTAGTCACATTGGATAGAGCAAGCAATCCCGTATGCAATCTCTGGGTGCATTTCAATGAGTAGAGAGTTCCTACCCTCGTAAATCCAGGTCAAGATCGGGACCTTGACCCATGGATGATGAGCGATGCCATACAGCTTAGCCAAGGCAAGGAACGTCCAGAGCTTGCACGGAGTGTTAAGCTGAGGCTTGAATCCTTCTAAGGCTTGGAGGACATGAGCGATCCCTCGGCGGTTGCGAGCCTCTGAATACTCAACAGGGATGCCGGGCTCGTCACTGCTACTGGAGTGTTCGAGTCCATCGTCTATGCCACCAACAAGGTGAGATGGGAGGGTCCATCGATTTTGTGCAAGAGCCCATTTTCGTAACCCCAGCGGACACGAAAGCTCTGTAGTAAACCTCACTCCTTCATCATCTGTGGTGGGCGGCGTGAGGTCAATGACAAACTTCACACCGTCAGGCAACGTCCCATCTAGCTTGCAACGCTTCAGAACTCGAGACTGAGCTCTAGGCTCAAATAGTTTGCGAAAGTAGGCAGAGCCCGTGGACAGCAGTCTTTGACTATGGACTCTGTGGGGGATTGTAACTGCGCGCTGTGGTTGCAAGGAATACCTTGACCGATCGTGTGGTTCTGTGTCGTCGATGTAAACGAGGGTGTCGGCACTGTCCATGAGAATTAAGTCAGGCCCGTGGCTGCGACTCATCGTGTTATCTGGCTATGAAGTGGTGTCTTGTGACGTGAGAAGGCTGAGTCGGTTGATGGGCTGTTAATCCAGGAAATGTTGAAACCAAGTAGAGACAAGTAGAGGCTTCTCAGAACCGAGGCTGATTGAGAAGAATCAAAGGGTGGAGTAGAAAGCTGACAAAGAAGGATGAAAGAGAGAGAGGTGAATTGAGGAAGGGAGAAGAGAGAGAATATAGTGGGAGAGAAGTGAGAAGAGAAGTGAGAAGACAAAGATGAATGTATACCGCAGATGTGTTGGGTTATGAAAGGCGGGAAGAGAGAAGCCTGGCCGCTGCCTACAGGTGAATGGCTACCTGCCCTGTGGCGTAGAGCTCACCGATGACAGGACCGTACAAGTGAATAAGGCGCGAGTGACTGAATCATCCATGATGAAGGTAACTATCTCTTTTACGGCTATAGTCTCCGCTAACTGTAAACAACTGAATCAGTCTCGACTGCTTGCTGGCACAGCCCTTGCATTACAAAGTGGCACAGCCCTTGCATTACAAAACAGTACAGTAAACAAAATAGACAAACGGAAGATTGTCTGACTTACCTATTATGACCTCTTCATTGGCTGCTATGGAGAGTCCTTTGTAAAGTCAAGGTGCTAGTTACAAAGTGAATTTGTCAGGATACAATCATGAATATCCTTCAGGTCAGGTCATCATCCACTTTATGCTGTGGAAAGCAAAGAAGGCACTCAAGGGAAGAGAAGAAGTTGTTGGAGAGAAGTCGTTGGAGGGCCTATGTAAAAAGGTGATCAATGATCTTATCATTAGTACGGAGTACCTATTACCTACATACATATCTGCGGAATCATGTCCGGACTAATCAGGCCGCAAGATCAAAAACCCCATAGTCATCCTAGATTGGCGGTCTCAACCTCAGACCCGGCAAGAAAAGCTCGTCCTAGACTTAGTTGCAAGGCTGAGCTATCAAGGAAGCGGTTTAGAAGCTCTTTGAATATAAGACGATACGAATACTGGTAGCAATATGTGAAATCGCCTTTCAGGAGTTGAAAACGGTATCAACAGAAAGCTATGTAGCACAGCAGAAGATTGATGAGACAGCCAACCAAATACTAATACAAAACATTAAACATGTCATGATCATCGATGCATCAACATAATCAAACCGCTACTCATCCTGTGAAACGGTCTTCTCCTCGCGCAACTGAGTGGCTGACTCGTCTGAGTATTGGCCTTCGCTGCTAGCCTTGCTTTTGCGAGACCCCGGACCGTTCTTCTTGTTCTCCTTCTTGTCACCCGCCCGTCTCTTCTTTTTCTCGCGCTGAGTAATGGCTTGCTCATCCGGTCGACTTTGACTGCGACTCGCACCCCCGCGCCGGAGGTCCTTGACTTCCTTGATCACCTCGCGGAAACCTTCTTCAATGTTGTTCATCCGAGCCAAGACAAGTTTACTGAGCATATCCTGGTTGCTGTTTGGACTGTCCGGGCGTCTGATGTTGCCCGTTGCGTAGGCCATTTGAGTGGTCATACTTGATGGAGCCCCTCCAAGGAAGCCGTTCGTGATTGCTTTGTTATCACCCAGGTCAGAACCCAGACCGTCGAGTATCGAGGACCGATGGCGTCCCCTGAAATGAGAGTCAGGTGCTGAGAAGCCATTCATATCAGGAACAGACATGGGGTCGGATCTATGTAATGTCGTGGTTCGAGACCTCCCTCCGTCCGTACTGTGTCGTCGTAGAGCCCAAGGTCCTCTGGATGGCGGCCCGATTATACTGCTTGCACGGTCTGGAGTGTGAGCCCTCGGTCTGACAGGGTTTAAGGAAGCATCCGTTTCCTCATGTTCACTTCTCCGAGGGATCGGATTATAGAGCATAGTGGCACCCGAGTAATTCCGTTTATGATATTTGATACGTCGAGTGGGACTATTCTTGCGAGACTTGAGTCGAGCCGTTGAGGGTCGGGAGCTGAAAAACTTTGGTTGCGTGGTGTGAGAGCTTTCATTTGCGTTCATGAGAGTGTTCTCCTCGGAGTTCTTCGACGGCGATCGATTTTCTCTCTGTTCCCCAGTCCATTCGCCATTGTCGTCACTAGTTAGCTCATCATCACCCTCCATTCCTGTTTGCCGAGAAAGCTGTCTGGTTCTCGCAGGGAATAGGAAGCCTCTCCCAGGACGAGGCGTAGCTGGTGATGATGCCACAGGATGTGCAGAATCCTCAGGATTAGAGGCAGCTGACCGGTTTGACTCTGTAAAATCACGCAGACTTCGTGTCATCCGCCGTTGATATCCTGATCTATTCCTCGGCAATCTTTCCAAACGGCTCACTTCATCCGAGTCTTGCTCATCAGGAGGATGAATGGGTCCCGAACCCATGGTCTGCATCCAATGATTGACAGCCAGGTCGTTTTCTCGAGGATGAAGCTTTCTTAGTCCTCTGCTTGGTTCATCCTGATAAGGTTGTCGGAAGACAGCTTCCAGCGCCCGATCTTTCTGGGAGGTCGCCACTGAGGGCTCTCGTACCAGTCGATTTCCTTGAGAGGTAAACGCTCTGAATCGGTTACGACGAGGCCGGAAGCGGTCTGCACTATCGGTACGAGCAGAAGGATCAATGAGGTCGATAGAGTCAATGACTTGAAAGCTGAGTATTGTCTTCTCATAGAAGCAAATGGAAAACAAGATCGGCAGGTGGGTGACTTTGATGATTGTGCGATTGAGCCGAACGAACTGTCTGAAAGACATGAAATAGCGGAATGGAGCAATTAACCATGCCAGTATGTTCGTCGGCGCAACATAGGAGAAGAGGGCATCCGACTTCACCATGGAAATGGTATTGACAGCGAAGAGAAACTGGTGCTCTTGGTTGGCGTTTTGCACAATGCCCATGAAAGAATTGGTGAGAACTGTGATCAAGATCGTCACAACAACAAAATGACAAATGAAGAGGAAGATAGTCAATATGAGTTTCCCCAATGCGTTGTAGTCTTCCCAGAGGGTCCACGCAGTGGGGGTAAACCCCATCAGCATCTGAAATAGAGCATAAGCTACGGCGCCGGGCGAGTGGTCCTCACCATTGCCAAACGAAAGTGTAAATGCAACGAAAAATCCACTGCAAGCGATGATAATCAACAGAAACACTGCGATCAAGTCCGACGCCATGATTCGGAAAGCAATGAGCAGTTGAGAGAAGTAGCGGTAATGATCGAGGATTGAAAAGAGGCGAGGGAACAACAAAACAGCATTCGCAGCCAGGATATCGTATGCCTGATCGGCAATGTATTTGTTGCGCGTGTAGGGCATGACAGCACCGTAAAGCCGCATGCAGTAATAGCAGAAGAGAAGGAACAAAATTCCGAGGTCAAACAGATTCCAAAAGCTCATGAGATATAGACTGAAGCCCTGTTCATTGAAGCCGACAATCTCGTCGAGCATGAAGCCAGCGCTCCATAACCAGAAAACGATCTCAAGAGAGGTGATTTCAAGGCGACGTTGTTGCAGAACAGCCAGAAACAGAACCAGCAAAATGGCGAACGACAGTGTGGATAGAAATTGACGATAACGAGGCACCCGCAGCCTGGACAGCTTGAACAGGGACGCATCCCTTGGATCATAGATAGTAACCGAACGGCGCAGGCTGGACATTCCAGACTGTGTCTGCTGATGGGCTGGTACCAGGTTGGGTGTCGAGCCGTAAGTTAGCCCTCCGTTCTGTTGAGGTCTGGCTAGCGAGCGATGAAGGTTGTCAGCTGCTGAATGAAACACTATTGTGCCTGCCCAAATGGCCTCTAGCTGTTGTACGACAAGTGGATGCGATAAGAATCGTTTGGCTTGAGCCCGAATGGCTATTTCGAGGCAGGAGATGCGAGCGATGCCAGGTCGCTTATTACCCTGCGCGGAATTCCAGCCAGGTGGGCGTTCAGTGACCGCCTGCCCATTAAGTGGGTAGAACTCATAGGACAGAGCATCAATCAGTTCTCGCGTTGTATACTCCCTCAGCAACTTGATAGCGAGAAGTTCGCAGACCATGGCCCTGGTCTGGCTCACACCACTGTTTCCCGGATTTGAATGAACCTCTTTTGTGAATTGCAAGCAATTGGTCATCAGTGCGTATAACGTTGCGCGAGAAAAGTGACCCGTTCGGATTTTCTGCTGAATAGGCTTCACAAGGAATTGGGAGATCTGGGGTGATCGCAATTGATCCCATGTTAAGGTAGTTTCGCAGCGCGTAACGATCAAAGGGCGAATGGCGTGTGTGATATCATAAACTGGAAGAGTATCTAGGGTCGGTAGAGTGGTTAGCCCATGCATATGCGCAGCTCATGGTACATGCTGTTTCATACCGAGGTGAGAGGCAGAGAAGATAGGAAGAAGAGGGCTGGTTTCAACAGGAGTATCTTCCTCTTCCTCTTCATCCTGATCGGGACCCGGTACTCGACCATTTGCTTCATCAAAGCCATTTTGTTGACCGAACTCCTCATATCCTTGTCCCCACCCCCTTTGCGGGGCGTTGTTATCAAAGAACGGCCATGGTGAATCTCGAGTGGTATAAGGTGATGAGAACGGAGAGCGATCCGCATACGTTCTCCGTTTCTTTGGGCGTAAGAGCGAAGCGAGCATTCTTCTGGGCAATCCTGGAAAGTCACGATCGCGCGGGGAAGCGGTGGCTCCAAGGTTGTTTATCTTATCATGTTCCAGCAGCACCAGAAACGAACAAAGAGAGCAAGGTACTATTCAAGTTCAAAGACGACGGCGGCGGAAAGACCAGCAACAACCTGTAAAGAAATCGACTGAGGGATTAGTGAAAGTCGCCAGGCAAGTTCGCGTGATCGGAGTAAGCATTTTTGCGCCGAGTTAGATAAACAGGGAGAGCTACCGAATGATGAAACGATTTGCTGCAAAAATTGACGCAGCTCACATGCGCCTGCAGTGCATCAGCAGCAGCAGCAGTACGGAGTAGAAGGGATTGGAAGATCGCAGGACTCGCAGGAGAATTATCAGCCATCTTGAGATTTCATGCGACAACGCCCAGGCCGCGTCTTAGCGCAAGATAAGTGATTGCTCTGAGCCTTGGCCAGCCCAGGCCGAAGCACTGACCTGAATAGTGAGACCATTACGTAGGGGAACCCGGAAGGGAGGCCAGCCTTAATTATGGCGCGGTCACGGATAAGTTACTTATCATGGATAGTTAACTACTTCCCTACTACAGGTCGGCCGCCCACCCCATTTCAGACTGTAAGTAAATGTACATCAATGCATGCACTCACAATGATGAAAATTGTATATTTCATCCATCTGAAGAAGTCATAATCTTCAAAGTACTGAGGCCCCATTTTCTATCGTCAGTTCTTGCTAGCATATCCAGGATCCCATAACTACTGGTCGGGTATTGGCCCATTGATTAAATTCTGGAGAGATAAGGAAGGTCAGATGATGCTGTATGACCCTGCCACATTCCAACAATTAACCTGATTCCATTCTTAGTGGTGTTACATTGTTAAGGTACATATGGCCATATAGTTAAGTCCTTTCTGTGATAGTTAGTATGAGTAGTTGGAATCTGCCACTAAACTACTGTGTACTGTGCAGTATACACTTTTCTGCAGTGTACCCTCTGTGTACCCTCTGTGTACCTTCAGTGTACTGTGGACTCTGTCTGCCGCTCAACCGGGATCGGTACCGCCAGTCGGGGGCAAGGATGATTCATATTCCGTAATTGATCCAGGCCAGATCCAAGGCAGGGAACCAAGCTACTGTTCACCGCCTGCACTAATTCCGCTGCACGCGAGGTCGATCAACACTAAGAGTGGCGAGCCTCCTCGGATGGCCAATTAAATGCCGTGCCAAGTGGCTGCAACGGGCATAGGGCGGCGTCGGCAGATTTTGGCTGGGGACGGGGCCCCTTCATGACAAAAATACCTACGGTAAACCTAGTAGACTACGGGCACGGAGAAGTCACAGGAGAACCGGCCCGTATCTGTGTGGCGTGTGCAGAACCATCCCCCCCCCTCTTCCCCCTCCATTTCTTCCCCCGAACCCCTCCAACAAACCGATGATCGGAGTAGGCGAGGTGTTTCTATTAGCCAACAGTCAACCTGTATGACCTCACCCACGAGGCCACTGCTGTGGCTGCCTTTTGCCCCCCTTCCCTTCCTGTCGCCACTTCAGGAGCTTTATGTGATATGCCACAGTGAAGATTTACTGTCAATGGCATTGGGACTCCAATGAAGAGAATTGCGACGTCCTTTGGATTGTTCGCAAGCGATAATGTGAGCCATTATATAATAGAGTGAGCTACACGAAAGCATCCAGATCACCCCGAAACAGTAAGGTCGAAAGTGTAAAACTTTAGAAAAATTTTCCTCGCGGGCGGTAGAGCATGGCAGAACGCCCATCAATCCCCGGATCGGTGAAACGAGTAGTCCAATGAGAAAGCTCCATAAGCCCCCCGTACACAAAAATTTTATTCTGAGATTTCTGCTCGTCTCCCTCTTCTTCTTCTATTATTCCTCTTCCTCTGCAGAAGCAGCGAAACGACATCCATCCCTCCTTCTTGCATCTCTACAAAAAGGATCTTGGAGGCTGCTGATGCTACGGTAGAGAGAATACCTCTGACACACAGTCCCCGAGAGGACCTTTTCCCCTCCCCCCCACAATCCACCGCTATGCCCCAATCCACCGAGGAGGTTGCGCTCCCCTCCAGCCCTCTGGCTGGAGGCGCCGTGGCCTACAATCAGATCAACAAGGAATTGCAACCGCTTCCTCCTATGGAGGCTCACAATGGAGCCGTGATTGCTCCCGCATCCTCTCCCACCCGTGACAGCAACGGAAGGATGATGTCCCTTGAGCTCGAGGATGGCACAGTCTACCAGGGCTACAGCTTTGGTGCTGAGAAGAGCGTTGCTGGTGAACTGGTCTTCCAGACTGGTATGGTAGGATACCCCGAGTCGGTCACCGACCCTTCCTACCGGGGCCAAATCCTGGTCATCACATTCCCCCTGGTCGGTAACTACGGTGTTCCGTCTCGGGAGACCATGGATGAGCTCCTGAAGACTTTGCCCAAGTACTTCGAGTCGACTGAGATTCACGTGGCGGCTTTGGTTGTCGCAACCTATGCCGGAGAAGATTACTCTCACTTCCTGGCTCAGTCTTCCCTTGGTCAATGGCTGAAGGAACAGGGCGTCCCCGCCATGCACGGTGTTGACACGCGTGCTCTCACGAAGCGCATTCGTGAGAAGGGTAGCATGCTTGGTCGTATGCTGCTCCAGAAGTCCGAATTCGTCGACAGCGCTACCGAAGTGCCCACGGAGAAGGATAGCTGGCGACCCTTCTTCGAGGAGACGGAGTGGGTTGACCCCAACAAGAAGAACCTTGTTGCTGAGGGTGAGTTTTCCGATTCCGTACTCTCAACTAGGAATCATTTTGGCTGATGAATATATAACAGTATCCATCAAGGAGCCTAAGCTGTTCTCTCCCCCCGAGGATATTGCCCTGAAGCACCCTTCCGGACGTCCGGTCCGTGTTCTGTGCTTGGACGTCGGTCTCAAGTTCAACCAGCTGCGCTGTTTGCTTGCCCGCGGAGTCGAGGTCCTTGTCGTCCCCTGGGACTACGATTTCCCTACCCTTGCCGGAAAGGATTATGACGGTCTTTTCGTTTCCAACGGTCCTGGTGACCCCGCTACTCTTACTACCACCGTCAACAACCTTGCTAAGACCATGAAGGAGGCCCGCACTCCCGTGTTCGGTATCTGCTTGGGACATCAGTTGATTGCCCGCTCTGTTGGTTGCCAAACCCAGAAGATGAAGTTCGGTAACCGTGGTCACAACATTCCTTGCACCAGCATGGTCTCCGGCAAGTGCCACATCACTTCTCAGAACCACGGTTTTGCTGTGGATTCGACCACCCTTCCTGAGGGCTGGGAGGAACTTTTCGTGAACGCCAACGATGGTAGCAACGAAGGTATCCGCCATGTCAACCGTCCATTCTTCAGTGTCCAGTTCCACCCCGAGAGCACACCCGGACCTCGGGACACCGAGTTCCTCTTCGACGTCTTCATCAACACCGTCAAGGACACTATTGCCTCGCCTGAGGCTCTCACCAAGGCTGTTTCCTTCCCCGGTGGCGCCATCGAGGACAACGTCAAGGCATCTCCTCGTGTCTCCGTCAAGAAGGTCCTTATCTTGGGTAGTGGTGGTCTGAGCATTGGACAGGCTGGTGAGTTTGACTATTCCGGTAGTCAGGCCATCAAGGCCCTGAAGGAAGAAGGAATCTACACCATTCTCATCAACCCCAACATCGCCACCATCCAGACCTCGAAGGGTCTTGCTGACAAGGTCTACTTCCTCCCTGTCAATGCCGATTTCGTGCGCAAGGTTATCAAGCACGAGAGACCCGATGCTATTTACGTCACTTTCGGTGGTCAGACTGCGCTGCAAGTCGGTATCCAACTCAAGGATGAGTTCGAGTCTCTGGGCGTCAAGGTCCTCGGTACCCCTATTGACACCATCATCACCACCGAGGATCGTGAGCTCTTTGCTCGCAGCATGGACTCCATTGGCGAGAAGTGTGCCAAGTCCGCCTCTGCTTCCAACTTGGAAGAGGCTCTCAGCGTGGTTGAGAGCATCGGCTTCCCTGTCATCGTTCGTGCTGCCTATGCCCTCGGCGGTCTTGGCAGTGGTTTCGCCGATAACATGGAGGAGCTGAAGGAGCTTTGCACCAAAGCCTTTGCTGCCAGTCCTCAGGTTCTTATTGAGCGGAGTATGAAGGGCTGGAAGGAAATCGAGTACGAAGTTGTTCGTGATTGCAGGGACAACTGTATCACCGTCTGTAACATGGAGAACTTTGATCCTCTGGGTATCCATACCGGTGATTCCATTGTTGTCGCTCCTTCCCAGACCCTCTCGGACGAGGACTACAACATGCTGCGTACAACTGCAGTCAACGTCATCCGTCACCTCGGCGTTGTTGGTGAATGTAACATCCAGTATGCCCTCAACCCCTTCTCGAAGGAGTACTGCATTATTGAGGTCAACGCTCGTCTCTCGAGATCTTCGGCCCTTGCTTCTAAGGCCACTGGATATCCCCTTGCCTTCATTGCGGCCAAGTTGGGTCTCAACATTCCTCTCAATGAGATCAAGAACTCTGTCACCAAGGTCACTTGCGCTTGCTTTGAGCCTTCGCTGGATTACTGCGTTGTCAAGATCCCTCGCTGGGATCTGAAGAAGTTCACCCGCGTCTCCACTCAGCTTGGATCCTCCATGAAGAGTGTTGGTGAAGTCATGAGCATCGGAAGAACCTTCGAGGAAGCGATTCAGAAGGCCATTCGCTCCGTTGACTTCCATAACATGGGTTTCAACGAGACGAACGCTCTCATGTCCATCAAGGGCGAGCTGCAGACGCCCTCTGACCAGCGTCTGTTCGCGATTGCCAACGCCATGGCTGCTGGCTACAGTGTTGATGAAATCTGGAAGCTCACCTCGATTGACAAGTGGTTCCTGAGCAGACTCAAGGGTCTCAGCGATCTCGGAAAACTTATGACCTCGTACAATGCTACCACTGTGCCTAGACCCCTGATCAAGCGCGCCAAGCAGCTTGGTTTCTCCGATCGTCAGCTGGCTAAGTTTTTGAGCTCCAACGAGCTCGCTGTCAGACGTCTACGTGTGGAGTCTGGCATCGTTCCGATCGTCAAGCAGATCGATACTGTCGCTGCCGAGTTCCCCTCGTTCACCAACTATCTGTATCTCACTTACAATGCTTCTGAGCATGACGTGAACTTCAACGACAATGGTATCATGGTTCTCGGCTCGGGTGTCTACCGCATTGGTTCCTCTGTCGAGTTCGATTGGTGCTCTGTGCGTACCATTCGTACCTTGCGCGAACAGGGCCACAAGACTGTTATGGTCAACTACAACCCCGAAACTGTCAGTACCGATTATGATGAGGCCGATCGTCTGTACTTCGAGAACATCAACCTTGAGACCGTTCTGGATATTTACCAGTTGGAATCCTCCAGCGGTGTCATCATCTCCATGGGTGGTCAGACTCCGAACAACATCGCTCTGCCTCTCCACCGCTTGAACGTCAAGATCCTCGGTACTTCTCCTGAGATGATTGATGGTGCTGAGAACCGTTACAAGTTCTCTCGCATGCTGGACCGTATCGGCGTCGATCAGCCAGCCTGGAAGGAATTGACTAGCATCGATGAGGCTACTGAGTTCTGTAACAAGGTCGGCTACCCCGTGCTTGTGCGTCCCTCTTACGTGCTGTCGGGTGCGGCCATGAACACTGTCTACTCTGAGCATGATCTGGCCAGCTACCTCAACCAGGCTGCTGATGTCTCGCGCGAGCACCCCGTCGTTATCACCAAGTACATTGAGAACGCAAAGGAGATCGAGATGGATGCTGTCGCTCGTAACGGTGTTATGGTCGGACACTTCATCTCCGAGCACGTTGAGAACGCCGGTGTTCACTCTGGTGACGCTACCTTGATCCTGCCTCCTCAGGACTTGGACCCTGAAACCGTCCGCCGCATTGAAGAGGCCACCAGAAAGATTGGTAATGCTCTCAATGTCACCGGTCCTTACAACATCCAGTTCATTGCCAAGGACAACGATATCAAGGTCATCGAGTGCAATGTGAGAGCTTCCCGCTCTTTCCCCTTCGTGTCCAAGACTATGGGTGTCGACCTCATCGAGATGGCCACCAAGGCCATGATCGGAGTGCCCTTCGCCGAGTATCCTCCTGTCTCCATTCCTAAGGACTACGTCGGTGTGAAGGTTCCTCAATTCTCCTTCTCTCGCCTCTCTGGTGCCGACCCTGTTCTGGGTGTTGAGATGGCCTCGACCGGTGAAGTCGCTTCTTTCGGACGTGACAAGTATGAGGCCTACCTCAAGGGCTTGATTTCCACTGGTTTCCGTCTTCCCAAGCGCAACATTCTCTTCTCCATTGGTTCCTACAAGGAGAAGATGGAGATGCTCCCCTCCATTCGCAAGCTTCACCAGTTGCAGTACAACCTGTTTGCCACCGCTGGTACTGCTGATTTCCTCAAGGAGAACGGCATTCCCTGCAAGTTCCTTGAAATCCTGCCTGGTGAAGAGGAAGACATCAAGTCCGAGTACTCTCTCACTCAGCACTTGGCCAACAACCTCATCGATCTGTACATCAACTTGCCGTCGAACAACCGTTTCAGACGTCCTGCCAACTACATGAGTAAGGGTTACCGTACTCGTCGTATGGCCGTTGACTACCAGACTCCTCTGGTCACCAACGTCAAGAACGCCAAGATCCTGATCGAGGCCATTGCTCGCCACTACGACCTCGCTGTCCGAACTCTGGATTACCAGACCAGCCACCGCACTATCATCCTTCCCGGCTTGATTAACGTTGCTGCTTTTGTTCCTGGCCTGGTCACTCCCGGCTCCGCCGACTTCGAGCTCATGACCAAGGCTTCCATTGCCTCCGGTTTCAGCATGGTGCGCATCATGCCCGTGGGTGTTGATGCCTCGGTTACCGAAGCGGCCGCGCTCAAGGTTGTCCAGAAGAACGCCCAGAAGGGTGCCTTCTGTGACTTCAACTTCTCTGTTTCGGCGACTTCGACCAACGCTGACCAGATCGGCCAGTTGACTGGAGATGTCGGTGCTCTCTTCATTCCCTTCAACCACCTTTCCGGTAACATCAGCAAGGTCGCTGCTGTCACTAGCCACTTTGCTGCTTGGCCTTCTAGCAAGCCCATTATCACCGATGCTAAGTCTACGGACTTGGCCTCTGTGCTGCTCCTGGCTAGTCTCCACAGCCGCAACATCCATGTGATGAACGTGACTTCGAAGGAGGACATTACCCTGATCGCTCTGAGCAAGGAGAAAGGTCTCAAGGTGACATGCGATGTGTCTATCTTCTCCCTCTTCTTCTCCAAGGATGACTACCCCGAGTCCTTCTTGCCCTCCGCTGAGGACCAGAAGGCCTTGTGGGAGCACTTGAGCACCATTGATGTCTTCTCCATCGGTAGCATTCCCTTCCAGATGGCTGGTGATAAGGGCTCTGCTGTCGTTGGTGTCGCTGAGTCCTTGCCTCTGCTCTTCACCGCCGTTGCTGAGGGCCGCTTGACTATCGAGGACATCATCGCTCGCCTTTACGAGAACCCTAAGAAGATCTTCGAGATCCACGACCAGGCTGACAGCTCGGTTGAGATTGAGATTGACCGCCCTTACACTTTCCAGAGTCCTCATGGCTGGTCCCCCCTCAATGGCAAGAATGTCCGTGGTGCTGTGCAGCGTGTGACGTTCCAGGGCAAGACCTCTTGCCTCGATGGCGCGCTCACCTCGGACGCCCCTAAGGGAGTTGACATGTCTACTCACCGGATTGCCCCTGCTTCCCCGTCTGTGAAGGCTATGTCTCCCATGGTTCGCGCTCGCCCGGAGAGTTCGTTTGACCGGAGACTCTCCGTCTCTGGCACTCCTCTGCGCCAAGCCCGTCGCGCTGCGGAACAGGCTGCTCCCGCGGTTGGTGAACTCGGCCCTCCCCTGTACACCCCCGTGCCTCAGGTCTCCTCTTCCTTGATGGACATGCTTTCCCGCTCTCCCTTCAAGCAGAAGCATGTGCTTTCGGTGAAACAGTTCACTCGCGCCGATCTGCACTTGCTCTTCACCGTGGCCCAGGAGATGCGGTTGGGTGTTCAGCGCCAGGGTGTGCTCGACATTCTCAAGGGTCGTCTGCTGACTACCTTGTTCTACGAGCCATCTACCAGAACCTCCGCCTCTTTCGACGCTGCCATGCAGCGCCTTGGTGGACGGACGATTGCCATCTCCACTGAGCACTCTTCCACCAAGAAGGGCGAGACCCTCCAGGATACTCTGCGCACTCTTGCCTGCTACGGAGACGCTGTTGTTCTGCGTCACCCTGATGCTAACAGCACTGAGATTGCGGCTAAGTTCTCTCCCGTTCCTGTCATCAACGGCGGAAACGGCAGTGTTGAGCACCCCACTCAGGCCTTCTTGGACCTCTTCACCATCCGTGAGGAGCTTGGAACTGTCGGAGGCCTCACCATCACCTTCACCGGTGATCTGAGATACGGCCGCACTGTCCACTCTCTGCTCAAGTTGCTCCAGTTCTACGACGTCCGGGTGCAGCTTGTTGCCCCCAAGGAGCTGTCTCTGCCCGAAGAGGTCCGCCAGCAGATTGTTGCCTCTGGCCAGCTTGTCGTGGAGTCCGAGGAGTTGACCCCTGAGATTGTCGCTCGCTCCGATGTTCTGTATTCGACCCGTGTCCAGAAGGAGCGCTTCGCGGATCTCGAGCAGTACGAGCGCCTGAAGAACACCTTCGTCATTGACAACGCTCTTCTCAAGCACGCCAAGAGCCATATGGTTGTCATGCACCCCTTGCCTCGCAATGCTGAGATCTCGGAGGAGGTTGACTTCGACCAGCGGGCTGCTTACTTCCGCCAGGTTAGTGTTGCTTGGCCGTCTAATATCTTTGAATATTCGCTGACTTGGACACAGATGAGATATGGCCTCTACTGCCGCATGGCTCTGCTTGCCTTGGTCATGGCACCCTAGGTCATTTCTGGGATGATGTACGATATGCGAGCAAACCACAGGATATCTGTGCTCTCACAGATCTGATTGGCGACCTCGATTATCATGTGTTTCCTATTTGTTTTTTCCCGTCTCGGCATTGGCTTTGCTTTCGAAAAGTTATTCAATGTCATTACATACACCGCGTAGGCTATTTGCGAGGCATATAGAGATGCTCGCGTGTTAGATTAGATTTAATTTTCCCTATTTTCCAATTATACGATCCCGTTATGTGTATGGATTGTATTCTGTGTTTGTGTTGTGTTTTGCGTGTGGTGTGTGTGTTGTGTTTGATGTGTGTGATGTGTGTGTGGTGTTCGTTGCGTTCGTTGCGTTTTGTGTGTTTTATGTGTTTGGCGTGTTTCTGGCGTGTTCTCTTTGTTTTCGACTTATTTTCTGTTTTCCCTGTTTCTTTCTCTTTCTTTTCCTTTTTCTTGGGAGTTATTGGGATTGGAAGGACATTGGGATTTGGGACTCGGGATTGGGAAGGAAAAATTGGCGTTGATGAAAGATCGGCTGGACGGCCATCTTCGGGCGGGACTGGATTCCCCCAAACTTTATACCCCTGGGACGACAACTTGGCTACGACTAACTTGCAACTACAACTACAACTACAACTACCACGACTACTACCACGACTACTACCACGACAACTATTACAACTATTACAATTTGTGGTCCTTGATGGCCCTGCTGCTCGCAGCAATCAATCAATCAATATAATCATTACTTTTCCTGAATTATACTCCATTTCTTTGTTAGACTTGCTTGTTGCACCTTGACACTTATCTCATTGTCAAAGCATAAGCAGAAATCGCGTTTGTTATAGCATCTTCTGCTGTGTTGCTCGTGATTCGAGGGATTTTAGATTATTGTCAAGCATTGAAGCACGGAAGTACTAGTAGGCAAGAAAGGCTTACTAGTTGGAACAACGGGGGCTAAATTACCCTTTGCGGACTCCGACGATAAGAGCCGGGCGATGCATACGATCATCAGTCGGTCTCATGCAGGTCACTGGCTTCCCCTCCTTTCTGCTTTGTTCCTTTCGTCTTTCCCATCTTCTCCCCCCCCAAAAAAAAATTGTCTCTTGCTTAGTCTCGTATTCGATCTACCACGATTCAAGGCCATGCCTGCGGGATGGACTGCTTCGCCCGATCCAACCGGCGCGCTTCCACGCATGTTGGCCAGCCTCGGCCAAACTTGCCAGTGGCATGAGGGCAGTGGCTAGACCCGCGGGCTGGACTATACCGTAGTAGTCTAGGTGACCTAGCGGCGGGGGCTCGAGATGTCGTGATCAATTTGGGAGGAGGGAACAATCTCGCCCTATATTGACCCGCAATTTAAGGAGATGCTTGAGATGTCAATCCGATTATCTTCTCTCTTTTGCCCCCCTCGGCAAACTGCCGGTATCTGCCAAATTGGGAAATCCTTCCTATCAGGAGTTACCTGCCTGAGTCGTGGACATTTCCCGATACAGTCGGCGGATAGTAATCATCCTTGTCCTTAATGGCTGAAGTATTCAGTAGCTGCTTAGTTAGTATACTTTAGGACTTGTGCATGCAGCTGTTCATCCACCTGACGATGTTTGAGCGTTGCAGCACAAAGGGCTTCTCCGACAGGGAGGGGTGGGAGGTGGCGCTTTTCATTCGATTTGGGGCAAATGAACAAAAAGTAATGACGTCCGGGAAAGACAATCTTCTCAGGGGTCTCGAACATAAATGAACGAATGGGGACTAGTGGGTTTTCTCTTCTTTTATGGAATTGCAGCCGGGTGTGATACCACCTATGCTTTGAACACCCTACTGAGATGACTTGATATAACCTTCCAATTGCGTCTTATCATGAGTTAGGTCATTACCGTTGACGATTCACGAGTCAACTATCTTTAGGGTGTACGATGACGGCTATCGGACTCCCAAAGCTCGAGGACATGTTAGGTCTTCGCCTGCATCGCTCTCACTACTGCTATCGCCCTAGAGCCTAGTGCTCTCTAGCCTTCAATTGAGGAACCTCAAATGAATGCGACATATACTAAGTGCCATGGTGATTCATGCTGCGCAGTTCTCTACGCCTATTACCAGCTATGCCGAAATACTCATCATAATAGTAACACGCATGGCTGTTGCAGAATACAATTCCTCTTCCTTCCTTCTGGCGTCAATCTCATATTTATAATCATCTCAAGCACTCCAAATCATGAACCCTTGGAGCATCTCGCAAACCCTCACGAAAGGGTCTCTACCACTTCCTCACAAATTGAAAACTATCAACCACGCCGACCATCGCGCCACCACTCTCGGACCCGGAGATAAGATAGAAGGGAGAAACAACAGCGTCAGAACACAACATAAAATCGCATTCTAGACACCATGGCCTAGGATAAACAAACCCTTGCTCGCTGAACAGCAACGGTCTCATCCCTCCTCCACTGCCTGATAGACAGACTCCAGATAGTACTTGTGAGAAAGTGGAGAGAAAGACATCACTGCCTCGCATCCTCCCACCGCTTTACCACCACCTCCACGATCTGTCGTAGTCCTTCCATCTCCTCCTCGACCTGAAGCCCCAGCGAGGTCGGGTCGAAGCTGCTCCCCACGTAGACGGGAATGCGCAGCCTGCGGGCGAGGATTTTGGCGACTCGGGTGGTGTATTCCACGCTGTTGGGGGCGGAGTAGATTGTGGTTGAGAGGGGTGTGGTGGGGGATTTGAGCTAGGGGTTTGTTGGTTAGTTGCAGGTGGCTAGCGTTTTGGTGTTGTAGGTGGGCATGGGCATGGGCATGGGCATGGGCATATGCGGTATGGATATATGTGATGTAGAGGGCATCGAGGGCGAAGGTATGATATTCGTGCATGAGTGAGGAAAAATTCAGTGACCCCATCAATCAAGGTGTGTAAAAGAATATGGGTTCAGGTTCATCCTGAGCATGGGGACCTGTTTTGATGACGCAGATCTATCTATATTGTCCACTACACTTACATCAGGCATCGCGTAGATCAAACTCCCCATCGGCTTCACTGTCCCCGCTGAGTCGCCCGGGGTCGACGTAGCGAGAAATACCATGGCACATGTGTCCAACAAGGTCAGATGAATATGTGCTGTCGTGTGAAGAGCCTTGGGCAGTGGGAAGGAGATCTCCTGCGGGTGGAGGCGGGGTGGGATGGGCTCTGCTGCTGTCGCCATTTCCCTGGGTCCAGGAATCAAAGGCCCTGAGTGTTTACAAGATTCGTTAAGCCGATAGACCGGTTGCTTGTGAATGAGCCGAAAAGAGCTGTTTGTTTTGCCAATGGCCCGAAGTATAGAAAGATTGAAGATGGGCTGGAAGGACTGCCAGTGCCAGGCGAGGTCTCGTTCCGCTTCTGGACTGGGAATCTCATTTTCCCCGCCAAAAACAAAAAGAAAAAGAAAAAGAAAAAGAAAGCGGGTCTCTCCGCGGCGGGCGGCCCTCGAATTCCATCTTCCGGCTTTGGAGTCTCATCATCGCTTGTCATTTTTCTCGCACGCGAGTTTCTGCTTGGAGCTAAAGTTTTCTTGTTCTTGGTGTTATCGCTGCCTGGGATCATTTGTTGTTCTTTCCTCCCTGTTCGAATGTCTGGAGCGATCGTCTTATCTCAACATGTCACACGATATCACCCACTCCGTCAAATCGGAACCCCACGATGACTCGGAAGATGTGCGAAGCTGGGCCGGGGACTTCGACCCGTTGGCCGACGCCGATGAGCGGCGGGTGCTTTTTGCTGCATTGGATTCCTTCAGGTGCGTGCGGATGGTCTGTGTGGTACAGCTTCTGGAGCTTCTGGTGTCACCGTCCTATCTTATCGTTCGTGGTTGTATGTAGCCATGATTACTAGGTTCTTGCTCTACGCTACGCTAGTCCTACAGTGAGGGGAAGGTCGCCATTTCTCCAACAATCCATGCTTCGCATCACCATGATGGCTTTGAATACTTGAAAATCTGCTGACCATGGCAGACAATATCGGAGAACGGCGCATATGAATACAACGCATCGGCGGCGACAAGCATTCTACGCGCTGCCCTCGGCGCATTGGCAGATGCTCGCCGAGCCGCCCTTCTCGATTCTGGAGCACTTCAACCGGGTAGACGATGCTATCGACATGAATGCGGAGATCGCGGACGCGATTCTCGCCACGGGCCTATCGTCCTTTGGCTTGTCGCTCGACCCGAACCCGGAGGACCTCCGGGAGAATTGGCACGGAACGGCCAACACCTCCGATGTCAACAAGGCCCATTCGACTTTGAGGCAGTTCTACCGCGACTGGAGCGCCGAAGGGCGCGCCGAGAGAGAAATCTGCTATGACCCGGTCCTCCAGGACTTGCGCACCGAGTTTGGTGCGCGCACCGCTGCGGGCCAGGAAATCAGGGTGCTGGTCCCGGGAGCTGGCCTGGGTCGCCTGGTCTTTGACATCGCTCGGGCAGGCTTCTCACCCGAGGGCAACGAGATCTCCTATCATCAGCTTTTGGCCAGCAGCTGGGTCCTCAACCACACCCTCGGTCCTCAGAAGCACACGCTCTACCCCTTTGCCCTGCACTTCTCGAATCTGCTGTCGCGGGAGCAACAGCTCCAGACAGTGATGATTCCCGACCGACATCCGGGCACTGTGATGGCAGAAGCGCAGGAGAACCCAGAGGGCCCTCCTTTCGGCCAGATGAGCATGTCGGCGGCGGACTTTGTGGTGCTCTACCGCCAGCCTGATAACCGAGAGGCATTCGATGCGGTGGCCACGGTCTTCTTTATTGATACCGCCCCGAACCTGATCCGGTATATCGAAACGATTCATCACTGCCTGAAGCCGAACGGGCTCTGGATCAACGTCGGGCCGCTGCTGTGGCATTTTGAGGACGGGGCCAACCGCAGCCACGAGAACAGCCACGACTCGCAGGACCAGGGGATCAGCGAGCCAGGGAATGTGGAGTTGACGGAGGCCGAAGTGTTCTGCCTCGTGGAGCGGATGGGCTTCGTGAT